TATAGAGGTTTATAAAAATGTGTAAGTGTTTGAGGAGCTTCCAGCTTTGTGTCCTAAGTGTAAGATTGCTTCCTCTGCAGAACTGGGATCAGATATGCGGTCAGTCTTTACCAGCAGCTCTGCACTCTTCCATCCAGAGGAAAGACTTTATGGAGGTGAGGAAAAGTTTTATCTCTGAACTTCAGACTTCATATTCTACTGCTGCTTATTCCAGTATGGACAAAGTGTACTTAAATGGATTCACAACCAGGAAAAATACAGCTGAATACAGCCATAAATAATCCTGTTGGTTGGAAAAGGAAAACTTCATACAGTGTTCTGTCTTATTTGTAATAAAATAACTTTCTATAAAAAAAAAAAAAAATTCACTACTATTTGGTCTTGCTACATGTTTTGCATGCTAGTCTTGAGCCACTGCTGATCTCTTTTAGCCAGAACACAATGTTTAACATCAGCTGTAATCCCAAAGCTAGTCCATTTTAGCTAGCATGCTAACACTAACTTTCTTTGCTACCTCACTGTAACTGAGAGATCAATAATAATCGTGTTTTAGGACAAAATAAAATAGCACTAGAAAGAAAAGACAAGTTATATAATAACTCACCGTTGTCACAAAATACTTGCTCAAACGGTCTGATTGTTAGGGTTTTCTCTCTATTATTGTAGAGTCTTAACCCTTAAGTCTAGCATGAGCCACTGCTGAACTCAATAACAGACAAGTATTTGATTCTTGGGCTCTTAGCTGTAGAAGTAGTGGCTCGTTTTCTTCAGTCAGGGTGATTAGCCTTTGTTGTTATTTACCATTTATGTGTTAGTGTTGACTTGTCTGATGAATGTGGGCTACAAAAGCAGTAAACGCCGTCTGTGTCTGTCGCAGCGCGCCCTCTACCAGTCGTCTCACAGCGACGAGAACGACGTGCAGACGGTCAGCCACAAGTGCCTGGTGGTGAGCGTGGAGGAGTACGAGCAGATGACCCACACTCGCCGCTACGCCGACAGCGAGGACCTCTACTACTTGGCCGGCACCTACGAACCCACCACGGGGATGATCTTCAACACCGATGGAGTTCCAGTCATCTGCTAAAAAGAAAAGAGAAACTCACTACGAGTTGATAAAACCAAATTGTGACCCGGCTTACTTTGGACCTCACTGGGAAGGAGTCAGTACCCAACCTGTCAAATCACTGATTTTCACTGGCGGTGGATCTTTTCACAGACTCCATGAACAGAACTGCTCTGAAACACTTTAAGTAAAACAAAAAAAAGCAAAAAGTTAAGAAGAAGACAGTCATGAACAGCTACTACTACAGAAACTGGAGACACTATGTAGACAGTATTAGAAGAAACGCGTCTCTTGAAACATTTGCACACACCAACGTCATGAACACGCTTCTGTTTTCCTTGTTGTGTTCACGGGAAAGCTTTTCGAACACGCATGAACACTTCGGTCTCCTTTTACAAGTAAATGCACCCTGTCTAAAGAGACACACGTACGCTCACACGTGCACAAACACAATGTAAATACAGACGCCATGTGACACAGTTATATAGAGGACAATAATGAGTGTTTTTATTTTCATCTAATAGATTTATGTCCGAGTACTTTTTTCTAAAGAGGTAAACAGTCAAGAAGCTTTAATGAACTGTGAATGGAGATGCAGGAGATGCAGGCCTGTGTCAGTCTGTCCACCCCCAAACCTGCCCCCCGCCCACCCACACACGCTCCGGCTAAACGGACAGACGGACCCCGCTGGTGTGATGTTGTGATTATGTTGCCGTGGTGATGTTACAGTCATGTTACAGTTATATAAATGTATCTACAGAACAGCAGGAGCGACAGACAAAGAGAGAAGGAGATGCACAGAAAGAGAGAGGTAGACTCCTCCTTACCAGAGAGCACTTAAAGAAAACAAACACTTAAAAATCTATCC